GCAGCAGCAGCAGTGACGCCGGCGGTGCCGGCGGCCTGGGCGGCGAAGAGTCCGGCGACAAGGGTGGGGACGGCGGTAGCGATGGTGATCCCGGCGACTCCGAGAACCTCGAGGAGTTGAAGTATAATCCAGCCGACGACCGCTACCCCCGCAGGTTAGAAGGGAAGAAACTCCTCTGGGGCGCCTCGAACGTTGGCCCGCTGCGCCATGGGCTNCCAGCAGCAGCAGCAGCCCGAGCAGCAGCAGCAGCCCGAGCAGCAGCAGCAGCCCGAGCAGCAGCAGCAGCAGTGACGCCGGCGGTGCCGGCGGCCTGGGCGGCGAAGAGTCCGGCGACAAGGGTGGGGACGGCGGTAGCGATGGTGATCCCGGCGACTCCGAGAACCTCGAGGAGTTGAAGTATAATCCAGCCGACGACCGCTACCCCCGCAGGTTAGAAGGGAAGAAACTCCTCTGGGGCGCCTCGAACGTTGGCCCGCTGCGCCATGGGCTTGAGAGTGGCCGCACGCGGAAGCAGACCCGGGAGATGCAAGGGGCCGAGGAGATGCCGGGGCCCGGAGAAACACCGGACCCGGAAGAGGCATTGCTGGCGACCATCATGGAAACTGGCGGGACGGGGATTGGGGATTGTTGAGGACTACATCTGCAACTCGCTTGTGAAGGAGCAGTGGGACGAGGAGCAGACACGCCGTATGGAGGAGATGTACAGGCGCGAGATGCAGGAGGTGTTGGGCCCGGAACAGCAGGCGTACGGGGCCGAGGTCGACGCCAGCGGGTCTTTGCAACCACTCCCAGACCCACAGCTAAGTGTGACCTCGCCAATCGGGCAGAAGCCGAGTGATGTGGAAGCAGTACCGATGACGTAGAAGGATGTGATGTGTTCCAAGTACAAGGTTTCTGGGAGGCGGCCATGAAGAAAGAGATAGATGGCCACGACAAGACTGGAACATTTACCAAGGTAAAGGAGCTGCCCGAGGGGCGGAAGGCCATAGGTTCAAAGTGGATGTTCGCTTGGAAGACGAATGAGACGGGCCTGATAGTCGACTTTAAGGCCCGTATGGTTGCGCGGGGTTTCTCTCAAATCCCCGGCATCGACTTCCACCACTCATCCTCAGCGTGCCCGTCTGCAGCGTCTATCAAGACGGTGATTGCCGTAGCCACTGAAAAGGGCAAGAAACGAACGCTCACTGGGATGTGAAGCAAGCGCACATCCACGCTAAGCTGAAAGAAGAAATATACCTCAGGTTCCCGGAAGGCTGTGGTAGCATGTCCGGCAAGGTGGTCAAGGTTGAGCGTGCCCTGTATAGCCTAAAACAGAGTGGCCATGAGTGGGGGTTTGAAGCTGCCGACGCCCTCATCGAGAATGGATACGAGCAGTGCAGGGTTGACCCGTGCGTCTTGCGGAAGGTANGCTGTGGTAGCATGTCCGGCAAGGTGGTCAAGGTTGAGCGTGCCCTGTATAGCCTAAAACAGAGTGGCCATGAGTGGGGGTTTGAAGCTGCCGACGCCCTCATCGAGAATGGATACGAGCAGTGCAGGGTTGACCCGTGCGTCTTGCGGAAGGTAGTGGATGGAGAGGTCGTAGGTCTCATCGTGATCTACGTTGATGACATCTTAGTGGCGGCAGACGAGGGAGAGCGAGAGGAGTTGTTCGCTTCCCTAAACAAGAAGTTTCCGGTGAAAGATCTGGGGGAGTGTACCTGGTACGACGGGTGTGCTATCGCCATGGATGTAGAAAATGGCATCACCAAGCTGTCCCAGACAGCATACATTGAGAGTATGCTGAAGAGGTTTGATGTGACCACGACCGCTTTCACCCCTGCTGCCGCCGATGCAGAGATAGGGCCGAGGAGAGATGACGAGCCCGCGGTGGATAAGCCTGTGAGGGAGGCGATCGGATGCCTGATGTGGGCGAAGCTGACGAGGCCAGACATCGCCCTGCCTCTGAACAAGCTCCAGAAGATCGCCCACTCACCCACCGGGAGGATATGGAACGCGCTTGTGCGGATCATGTCCTACCTCAACG